CATCCAAGCCTGCCCAGAGAACCACATCAGCTATAATCTACCCCATGTCACACTTATACTTTAGACACCTAAATCTCTTTCTAAACAGAATAATACAAATCAATTATTAGAGTGAAAAGGGTATTTAAAAAAAATCTCCGCAATTTAAGACTCATGGACATCTTTTGTTCCATCAGGACATGTTAACTGTGCCTTCTTTTGAGTTCAAAGGTGTGTCAAACATTGCATATTTTCACTTATATAACTGTTGCACCATCTAAAAGACTTCTGCTGTAAGTTAATCTGTTTTATTTGTAAAAAAAAAACAACGCACAGTCAACTTAAACATTCTAAAGCTGTAAAAGGCCAATACAAGAGAAAGTTGGGAAATTCTTAGTCAACGAGTATTTAAAATTTAGGAACTTGGCTCATTTTACACAGGTAGTTTATATGACTACTGCAATGAGTAAGTTTCTGATTTCAGAATGCTGAAAGCAACCATTTAGCACAATCCTATGAGGAAGGGGGGTAAAACTGCATTTCTCTGGTGAGTTCGCCTTCCAACGTTTATTTTTCAACCAGTAGTTTTAATAACATTAAGCAATATTATAAAGAAATGCTCAAGGATATAAGTGGAATCTTAAATGAATTCCTAAATATGGTTTCTGTGCACTTAAAACATCTCATAGATAATATTTCCCTCCAGGAAAACACATCCTATTACATATAGAAATTGCTTTTATCAAGTTCTAAAGGAAATGGTCTCTGCCTGCTTTTGTCCTTAAGCAACTAACATAAACTACAGAAGGGTTATTAGCACAAGAAAAAGTGCCAGAATCCTTTCTGTTGCTAACATGAGCACACACTGTGAACACTCTATGGAAGATCTCCATTTTTAGATGTCGCTGCAAAGTAAGGCTTTTGCTGAATGTTCCTGTAGAATCTAAATAATTCACATTTGGGGAGGAGGGGATAAAGGTATCATAATACCCTGAAATACTATACTCCATGTGCTGCATCTTCTAGCTTGCTACTGACTCAAGGTACAGAGCACAATTTTGGATCTTCAAGTGGACACGCTGTATACAGAAGACTTTAAAAATCAAAAGCTTAGTACTAAAAAGTTATTTCTCTAATGTCTATCTATATTAATGTGTTGTTCATAATGAAATGCCCCAGCAGCTAGCAGAGCCAGCAAAGCCTCCCTCCTCCCACATGTGGTTTTCAGGAATGCTGCTGTGTTGAAAAGGCAAATTATCATTGCCCAACAACGTGCAGTTCAACAACAAAACTGCACTCCAAATGGCTTGATAGGAGAACAAGCAAATGGATTTTTACAGACTTACACCAACTCCAAGGTGTATAAACTGCCACAATGCTATTCAAAGAAATCAAAACTCTAATGCTCCTGTCCCATATTCTGTTTTGAATGGTTTGAATCTTGCCGTAAAGAAAGTTACTACTAAATATTTTTTTTACTGTCAGAATTACATCTTGGCCAAAAAAATATACCTAAACAGTCACTTTGCACCTTTTAGCTACCTTCAGGGTAAGAAAGCCAGAAATAACCCTGGTATTACAAGAAGCTGAAAGATACACTACACTAAATTATTTTCAGATTTCTAGAAGTGTAAGTAAGAGTGCATTTGGTGTTATAATTTGCCTCAGTTTGGACACTTTCCTAAATTTGGACTTGTGTTAGGAAAGCTTAAGCTGACATAAGTCTCACATCAGAAGAGATTAAAGGTAAACATAAAAATTACAGTGATTTAGAACCACAACTGAATTTAATTGTCTAAGAACATTTGCATTTTATCTAAGAATAAAAAAAGGTGCATTTTAACAATGAAATAATCTGATGCAATGGCAGATGATGCTAGAATGACCTGTTGAGCTTACTGGCACTTCCTCCAGCCTCACACTCCTTCTGTGCCAACTCCTGCACAAATAAGCCATAAGCTCCTAGTGAGATCCCTCGGGGAGTTAATCTTGCAGAAATTGAGCTCTGCAGGAGAAAAGTGAGTATTTTCTGCAGGTTCAACTCCCTGAATGAGCTCACCGTGAGTCACGTGTGTCACCTGCCAGGCCATTAGAACGGATGTCAATGCCTAGTAGCGTTGAAGAGGGGAACAAGACTGTCTCCTTGTGGTAGAAACTATCCATTAGCTCAACCAAAGGACAGAACATAGTATTGCAAGACTGCAAGTTCACATTGTTCATCAGTTTTATTACTCTGTCATGCTCTTGCTGGCTACTGCTGATCTTAAAAATAAGTTAAGTAACACTTTTAAGGTATCTAAAAATACAAATCCATTGAGAACAAGGGGTTTCGAAAAAACATTTTGTATTCTGAGAGCCAGGGGTTTTTGAAAAGCACATTCGGTATTCTAGCTTCTTTAAAAACTCTACGACAGTAACAAATTAAGATCTAAATAATGTTCTTCAAACACCTCCAAGCAAGTACTCTCGCAATGACCTTACCTCCCAGGTTTCTGGTTTTTTCATTGCAACATCTGTTAAATAGATTCTGAAGGTCATTTCCATGGCTCAGGAGAACTTGACTAATATTATGATAAATATTCTTGGAGAATCTTTTCTTTATTTTTTTTAAGCAATGAAATAAGCATAACGTGACTTTTATGGATGTTGCCATCTTTGGTCTACATCCAAACACATGCTAAAAATAGTAAGAACAGAGTTATATTAAACCAGCAAAGTACAAGGTGTCTTGATGCAAAATTTGGTTTACATAAAATAGAAAAACATTTTTTCAGCAGATGTAAATTAAAACAGCTGAGAGAAAAACACCAGACAAACTGCTCCCCAACTTAAGAAGACACTGAACAGTTGGTATGTATGTATTATGTAAGAAACTGATCCCAGTGAAATCATGCCTGAGGTACCGCTCTTAGAAGCAAAAATCACAGGTCTGAGTGTATGAATAAAAATTAGGGATATATAAAATTTTTTATTAACTGAGAATTTAAGTTGGTTACTAAATGATTACATTAACTTTTAATTTCAAGAGCAGACAGGACACAGCCAGAACAGTATCAGGTTTTCCTTACTGTGTTCAATGTACAAAATAACTATTTGAAATACCCAAATGCTTCAGAAATCCACAATAATTTTAAAATGGCAAAGATTCTGAAATCACCTTTAAATCACCAGTGTACCAAAGCAGTTTTTAAAATTGTTTCCTTTCTCTCACTGAGGTACCCCAGAATTCATTATCTTAAAGTTATCTGCACACCAAGAACACCTTAAGACTTCAAAATTTTCTCCCTTCTCCTTTATGTCAACATCATCAAGCATCATCATTCCAGAGACATGAAAAATAGTCATCTTTTTATAACAGCAGCTATCACCTCCTGAAGTTCCAAGAAAAAAAAACAGACATACTAGGCACCAGCATTGCTGCAACTCATCAACACCAGATAAAACCTATAAAGTAGCAGCACTAGGCACACAAAACACCTGGTGCTGGAAATAGCAATGCCGCAAGAAAATTCTCAAGGGTACTCATTATTATTATCTGAGATAACATCTTGTACTTCCTATCAAGATACCAAGTTCGTGTATGGCACCTGAGTGTATATATACTTCATAGTTTCACAAACACATACACTTCCCCTAAACATAGCTGAATATAGATTTTTCAGGTGTTCCTTCTCAAGCTGTATCTAATTACGTCTCAGAACTCTGCCAAAGCAACAGCTGTCTCCTAAGAAAAGTAGTAATTGTAGCATGAGAATCAGGGTTGTACCTGCTTCCTGCTTTTGCTCACAGTTACTATTCCAAAGGTGACCTCCCCCTCCCACCAAGTATACTAATATCTGGAATTTAACAGAAAAACTGTCAATTAATACTAAAGGTAAAATAACATAACATAACATAACGTAACATAACATAGAATAACATAAAATGATGCATACCAAAACCTGAAACACCACTGCTGGCCACTGTTATTAGGTATTATGACAAAAATGAAATAAAATTTATTTCAGAAGATGTCTGTGACTTCAGGCCTGCCTTAGTTTTTTCGTATCTTTCAAGCAAGCATTTGCTCTATATTCAAAAACTAATCCAAGCCCCTATTTGCTATTAAAGACCCAAGAACAATCTATGTTTCATCAAACTTTATCAGTGATTAGAAGTTTCTGGACATACATCCCTATTTTGATGTACTAAATCAACTATGGAAAAATAACCAAATAAAAGCAGTGGCATTATACACAGATTACACTACACTTTCTACCATAGCTACTACTGCTGTTACAATAGCATAGCTATTAGAACAGTTCTGGCACATTAACCTTCATGTTGTTTGTCTCATGCCACAGATTCTAGTTACAATGCAAGTGGCAGCAAACGCTACACCCATATTGGAGTAGTCTTTTTGCAACCCTTGGTAGGCACTTCACTTAAGCATGAGGAGTGGTGGGAAACTTTTAAGGGGAAAAGGGTAACTAAGACAAGGCAACCAGCTGCCCCTGTAATCTGCAGTCAATCTTCAGAGCCACTTCAGGTCATGCGAAATTTCAAGATGACAACCCTTTCACAGTTCTCTTCCCACGGTCAGAAAAAATACCACATGGAAAAGAAATACTCCATGAAAAAACTACTTTTTCACTAGCTTTTATGGTAACTTGCACGTAAGCCAAACAATGTACAAGGGTATCAATCACTTTCTTTCTTAAATGCCTTTTTCAAAGTCATGCACAAACTTATAAGAATGTTCAACCAACATATATCAGCTGACTCATGTACTGTTTTCGGATATTGGTATCTGCGAACCTTTTACCGGATCTAGCATCATTGTCTGAGCTCAGATGACTCAGATAAAAACAATGCAAAAACATAGTTTGTTTTCATGTTTAAAGTCTCCATTGGTCTCCTGCGACAATAACAGGAAGAGCTGCATGGATCGATATGCAAGATTACTAATAGGGACTTTTCTTCTCCTACCCAACGATACGCACGTGAAACTTTCTTAACCAGCTAATACATGTGACACTTACCAGATCTCTGTGAAGCACCCAGTTTGCATGGAGGTAATGGATTCCATCGAGGATCTGGTAGAGTAGGGATTTAACCATAGATCTTGGCAACTGCATGGGCTTTTTATTTGCTTTTGAGGCACGGTGAAACTTGATAATATGCTAGAAATAAAACAAGTAGAAACATGAAGCATGTCAGATAAGGGTTTTTTGGGGGGTTTTTTTTATGAACTATTAACACTAAATAATGGAATGAAATACAAAGTTTGTAAAACTTTGCAATTGAAAGTAATAGTGATGTGCTCACAATTTTCTTGAAGTGTTTTTACTCTCTGAGTTGCTTTAAAAAAAAAAAAAAAAAACCAGCTGTCAAGCTTTTGTTAATATCTAAAGACTGGCTACTTACCTCCAGTAAAGGGTCTTAGACAATCGCCTCCCTACCTCCTCCCCATTTAGGATCCTCTTATCCTCAGCAGCTAGAGCAGAAACTTCCAAACCAGCAGTATCTGCCAGAAAGAGGACCACACTCTATGCCTTCACACCTTCCCTCCTCCTCTCCAAAAGCACCAGGACACTGTACTTGCAACTACTTTAGTGTTTCCTCCCCAAAATCAGAAACCCAGTAAAGAGAGAGAGTAAATAAATATGTAAATAAACTGGGGGCGGGAGGCACACAATGTGACACAACTCCAAAAACCCCACACCACAGTAGGGCGAGATCATGTTCAAACATCAAAAAATGGTTACATTCTTGCTTCCAAGTTTTGGGTGTATACTTTGTTGATAATAACCAGCTAGTGGCTTTTGGATTATAGAAGTAAGTCAGCCCATTAGAGGACAAATACCACTTGAAAACAGGGAATGCAGAAAAGGAACTCAGCATTAGTCAGTTGAAGAATGGGGGGAAAAAAAAAAAAAAACAAACCAAAAAACCAAGAACATTAAAAGATTACTGAGATATCATGAAATATTCATAACCTAATTAATATTCATTGTATTATTTACAACAAAGATCAATGTGGAGATGATGAGTTAGGTTTGGTTTTGCTACTCTGTACAAGAAATAAAGCGGGATGAGGCCATTCTACCTTTTCAAACCTCAGACAAGGTGGAGCTATGCAAGGCACAAACCCAATCTCAACATACTGCTGTTCAGCAAACTACTAAATCCATTCATTCTGATAGAGAAAAAAAAAAAAAAAAAATCTCCTTTTTGAAGGCAATTCAAAGAAGCATCTCAGATAACAAAATAGTTTTCAATTATGTGCTTTTTGAAAGACAGAAATAATAAAGGCAGTTTGCATTTTTACTGAAAGCAATTCAAAGTGCTAATCTGCAGAGTGACAAGACTACTAATTACCCAGTTCTTTAAATAGCATTTGTCTAGTTCAATATCATCCCCCTCCCCAGGTTAAAGAGGTAGCCAATGGCTGTGCTTTCAGCAGACCTCTGCTCCCTCCACCACCATCACCCGCCAAGTCTGTCACTACTGTTCCCAATGCAAGTGGTAATGGGTTAATGTTTCCTCATGGTAAATGCTACCTCTGGCTGTCACCAGTTCTCTAGCCGCTGTCTAACTGTACTTAGGCAAAGGTGTAGACAATACTGTTTAAAGAGAAATTAAAAATAAAATAAAAAAAAAGCAAAACACATCAGAACAACAGCCTGATCACTCCCTTATCAACAGCAATATTCCCCCTGAGCCTTCCACACTACATGGACAAGAGTGATAGAAGACTATTAAAAAAAGTATATAAAAAAAGAAATCTACACGATTATCAGTTTTTAATATACAAATAAGCATCAGTAAACAAAACAAGCTCTTAGTACCAGATCCTTTAATTATGCAATCATTCTGAAAACTACAATGGGAAACCTCAAAGGATCATTTCCTTAGAAAAGTTTTTTCTTATCATATCACAAGATTGTGTCAAAACTTCAACTAGCAGTCCCTGCCTTCCAGTACTGCACAATGCTCACCAGGTAATGACCTCCACATGTAATTACAATATGATTTATAAATCAGTAATGATACCATAAACTTCCAAATGAGTATCTTTATTAATACATAGTATGAAAAAATACAGGAGAACCAATGGGCAAAGGTCAGAACACAAAGACCCATAAACCCAGCCCTTTTTCAACATACATGTAATCACTAAAAGGGACTTTTATACCCTTTTTAAAACTGACTAGTATCCACACAAAACGTTATTCCTTATAATGAAGGCATACAGAAAATTAAACTGAAAAAGGGTCTCATAGGACAGAATGGGACACAACTAATTGTGGATGCATTGAGGACAAATGCTCTGCCTCTGGCCCTACTACAGCCCCTTTGGTACCTTTGAAGGAAGAAAGTATGGCAGTACCAGGCCGATGCCCTCTGATTTCTGCCCCTGCCCCTGCCCTCCCATGTGGCTCCTGGTTCCTTCCAACAGACTGAAAACCCCGCCAAACATTTTGTCCCATGAGAAACTAAAGAACTGAGCAGATGTTTAAAGCAATGCAAGAAATCTGTTCAGAAAAAAGACACTATCAATCAAGCAGCTACTAGCATGCCAGGGCCATCCACGAGACTGGCAAAGCAATGCTTACACAAGGGTAGAGGAAGGAAAGGTTTTTTCCTGTGGCAACTCATAACAGCAGCATCCCCTTTCTTACTCTTGTTCCACAGGAACACCTAAGTGAACTTTTGAGGCAGATAATCTGCCCTTACACTGAGCTTTAGGTATGCAAGTGACCTCTAAACCAGAGCCAGTGTAACTAAATCAGCACAATGTTAAGCTAAATTACCCAACCAGACTTGATAGCTGAGGCTTCCCACCATACTGACCAAAGCTGGCACACGTTCCAGAAGATGACAGAGCTTGCTCTTATTTGCCTCTGAAATACCACTTAAACAAATTTTTAAATCATCTTGCTTTGACGCTTGCTTGTCCCAGTCAAAAAGGCTAAGAAAGCAAGCTCCTTTCTTGAAAGAGTTACTGAATTGCAGAAGTGAATTAAAACTGATAGTTTTAAGTAAGCAGTATCACTATTAGATAAAATTCAATTTCCTATAAAAGCAAATAAAAATTATTGTTGCCAACTTACTCTACAGAAGTGTATATTCGTCAAATCACAAACTTCACCCCATCAGAATTTGATTAGAGAAATGAACAAAAATTAAACTAAAAACATACTGCAAGGCCAAATAGTACAGAGAACTGAAAAGCTGTATTTGCCCCATGCCATGCCAATGAATCCACAGTGGTTGTGACCAACTCCTACCCTCTAGGGTTTTGTAAAAAAAACAGTTCATCCAATTTCTTGTAGGGAACTACCCACATAAAGAAAAACCAACATACATAACCAATGCTGATCAGTAATTTTAATGGCAGTGTCCATCCAAGAAACTGAAGGGCAAATAGGTGCAATTGCTTAACAGCATCTTTTCTATTGGAGGCAGCAAGCCCAAGCTTTTTCTTATTTCTGTATATTTTCAGAAATATATCTATATGACCCCATCAGTCTTGTGGGAAAATATTCCTCAGAAGAGTAGAGTAAGATCCAATGGCCAAGGATGCCACGCCAGTACAACTATGCTAAAGTAATTTCTTAAGCAATTCTGCTGACTTCGGGGGGGCGTAGGGCGATGTGCTCTTTCTGAGTCAAAATATTTAATACTGTAAATCCAAAACCCCAGGCATAGAAATGGAGGCAGGTACCAGCACAAACTAGTATGTTCTTTATACGGAACTGCACTATGCAAGTGATGAGGCACTCTCTATTAGCTTCACTTCCTGAATAGTCACAAAGTACAGCCTCAAGTACAGCACATAAGGCCATAATCTTAGACATAATAAAGGTATGAATAATTTACAGGAATTATAGGAATTGTAACCTGTTTCCCATTCCCCAGATGACTGCCCTAACCACCAGGCTTCAAAACCACACTCCTCCTTTCTCTCATTCAATAAACCTGTGAAGCAGAGCATCAAGACTGCCCTGTGAGTTAGGAGCACAGATTTGAAACCTGACAGGTAGAATGACATCCTGCTTCTCTCTCCAGGAAACAGGAGGTGAGGTTGGACACTGCAACTTTAGGTATGCTCAAGTTCTTTGCTGAATCTTATCCCTAACAGATAACCACTAAGAACACAGCATAAGGACTTGGACAATTCAGTCAAGTCAGAGAGGCATGTTTGTAGCAAGAAGACAAGAGACAGAGGATGAAACAGCTTCAGCATTCTCCACTTCTTTTTTCACTGTTGTTCTCTAATGGTAACTTAATTTCTATATTCTGATAGATCACCTGGCCACAAAAGCTGGAAAATACCCAGACACTTTCCGCAAAAGTTTAAGAAAGGCTTAACTGTCTGTGCGCACTATACCATTCGCATGCCACAGAACAGAAACCACCCACAACATTATCCAGTCATAATTTAATTTAAATTGGTTCATTAGAACACTGCAGATGCAAGCTTTCCTTCTCATATATCTAAAAAGCTTCAAAATGAAAAAACACATGTCATATGAGGCAAATGAAATTCCAAGCAATATTCAAATCTATTCAGCAAAAGTAGCCGTGTTGCTTTTCCCTTCTGTGCATCTGTATTTTCGTATTCCTAAATCTTAAAAACATGCTGCCCCTGACTGGGTTCCAAAAACGTTGTGATCCAATTAAGTATTCACTTTTGAAAATAAATATAATGTAAAAATACTTCTATTGCTTTTTCATAATTTGTTTTAAATTTAAACAAGACATTAACTTTGTGGCAGTGGCCTTAAGTCTATTCTCTAAATTAATACTTCAAAGAACATTAAAGAATACAGAACAGAATTTATTATCATTCTAGAAAAGTAATGAAGCTTCCAGAGGCATGCTATAATTTGCTGTTTCCAGTATCTGGGACTACTGGTTTTGTTTCCTAACTGCTTATTCCCAATTTCCAACTTCAAAAAATAAAAAAAAATTGAGAGGAAAAATGGATGAACTGGCTTATTTCAGTAAGACCATTTCAGCTTTTGCAAAGGCAAGACCATATAAACATTTAACAGATAAAGAAATTAAGAGGTAAGCATTTGGAAAGAAAATGCAGTGGTAACTCATGAAACAATATTCAATCTAGTAGTTCATTTGCCTTCTATGTTACCTAGTGTACTGATGTGAAAATCAG